TTTTTTCCCTCCTGCACTGAAATGTAGAAAGTGCTTGGCCACCTTCTGTTAACAGCTTCTTAATCGTATCCTTCAGCCAGGGTCTTGACAACATTGCTCTGCCCTTCCACCTGCTGTCTCCTTAACTTTCATCACTCCTCCTCCGTGATCTCCTGAAAAACTGCCTAAAACCCCTCGACCCTGTAAACATACCAGAGGAATATACGCTGTTTGATTTGCAACTTCTGCGTTTCTACTCAGTACAGGAGCGACTTCCTTTTTGGGGGTAGGAAGAGAATAATTCAATAAGCAAAGCAATCTGGGCAGAAGGGGTTATTTATAATGACGAGATAGGGCGGGGAGATTCTCAGGGGGTGAGGAGGGGAGGTCAGATATAATATTTCAGGTGCTGGATCCCATTGGTCAGTGAAAAAGTTGCCTTCCATAAAGAGAAAGATGGGGTTCCCTTTGCCTTTTGGGAATGCAGTATATATACCAACTTATAGCACCAGGAACGAGGCTGCTTCCCAAATCGGTTGGTCCCTTCTGTTTTCCTCATCAGCCAAAAGGTGAGAAATCTCTTAGACTACTTTTTGGACAGATCTCGTTCTGTTGCAGTTCATTGGAGGGATCTTTTTTGAGGTTTTGGTAAAAGCTAAAGCTAAACTTGTGATGTGTTGAGAAGAAACGAGAACATTAGAAAGTGTCACTGCAGGATGATGACGATGACGATGGTGATGAGAAGCTTTTTAATGCCAGTATGGTTTGTTTTGGGGGTGACGCTGTCAGCGCTCCAGGTGTGAAGTGCAGTGTGATGAGGTGCGCTGGTGCAAATGGACTCTCGCGTTTGGAAAGCGATAGTCCCAGTGTTTCTCGCTGTGTCATCACAGAGGTCATGTGTCACATTTATCTGGTCTAATGAAGTCAGCTCCATGTTTTATACAGATAAGCTCCAATACATGGAAACATCAGCATCCAAAACATAATCGAACGCAGTGAAATGTCATCCGTCCCACTCAGTGGGAGAGTTTGAGCGCTTCATCACCTGTAGCTGTCACGAGTCCAACCAAAGTGCGACAGCTGCACAGAAGAAGCGCACCGATGGTGTTCTGCCTTGCGAGTAATTAGAAATGCGTTGCATTTTCAACTCTCTGTGATCCTTCAGTGGTTGTTTTGTGGTACGTTGTGTCATTATCCCAAAAGAAAAGCTTAAAGTCACTTCAAACATGTGCTCTCCCTTTTGTATCATCAGTACTTTTTTCTTCTCATGGTTTAAATTTCTGATGTTTGGAGTTTGCGAGTTCTAAAAAGTTGAGTGTTGTTGAGAAATGGTGGGAG